GTGTGTGTGTGTGTGTGCGCGCGCGTGTGTGTGTGTGTGCGTGCGTGTGTGTGTGTGTGTGTGTGCGTGTGTGTGCGTTATCATTGGTGTGGCCGTATTTGGTTATTTCTTTGTGTGTGCACACTAAGCCAGATTCATTAAGTGAAGCTCAATCTGTGGCCTTAGAGGGTGAGAGAGAGTGAGGAGGGGGGTTGAGACTGGCAGCGGGGAGGGAACTTGTTCAGATGAATAATTTATTTGGGATTCCAGGAATTGTTTGCCAAGGTGATGATGGTCGATTTGATTCTGAGCCAAAGCAAACTGACTCAGAGCACACTGCACTCTTTCTTCAGAAGTGTTTGTGTACATGTGAGTGAGATGTCTAGTGGTGACAAAATGCGCCCGCATTATCATGGCAGGCCAGTTAATTCCTTACAGAATGCAGACAGGGTTATATTATAATATTTTATTCTGAAAGTTTGTCTAGTTTAAAACCCACAATTTTTTTTTTTAGCTTATCAGGGTTCATTTGTTTGTATTTTTATTTATTTTGTGTTACATTTACTTTATTGCACCAATAATCCGTTTTTATTTGCATAATGCCTGATATTAAGATCTGTATTTGTTTTTGTAAAATAAACCGTGAAATCAATTGCTTTAATAGTGAATTGGCATCACAACATTATAATTTGTAATATGCAACATTTTTATTTTTATTTAGCTGAAAATTGCATTTGTTTTAATTATTTAATGCTTTAAGAATTAACTTTAAGTGAGCACTCAGTTAAATATCCAGTATCAGCCAACATAACGTATGTTTTAAATGTAAACCAATACTCATAAGTTAAAAAGTCTCTAATATTGAACAATTGATCTATTTGTTTTCCTCCAGAGAAAAAGCTGCACTGAATGAAGTGTTTTATTGGACTGCAATATGTAATCAAATGCAAGCCTATAGGACATTTTAAGCTGCTTGCTACATTGCATCTTCATTGTTGAATATAGATATTGTTGTGTGTGTGTTTGTGTATAAAGTTTGGGTCACATCTGTCTCTCAGCTCTGTGCACTGAACCAGGTGGTCGTGTCTGTGTCCTTTGTGTCCGGCTTCAGCAGATGAATGCACAGAGAGACACAAACATCACTAAACGGTTCCAACAGGATTTGTGCTGGATATGCAGCGAGGGCAAGACAGAGGCACCCTGTACAGACGGCTGCTGCTCAATGCAGCCTTTCAGCCCGAGGGAAGCCGAGGGTTAGAAGAGCCTGTGTCAGGCGGGAAGGAATGAACTCGAGTGTGTGAATGCCACTGAGTGCTTTGGTTTATTTGTTAACTTGTCTTATCCGTGAAGATGGCTTCATCTGTCATCAGAATGTACAGTAGTCAACATTTGAAGTGGATCAAAACCTTTCATCAAAGTTGTCCTAAAACCTAAAACCGAAATGTGTTCTTGTCTTAGGACAACTTTGATGAACTTTTTTGATCCACTTCAAATGTTGAGTACTGTATATGTTTGAGTGAGCATGTAAATGTAAGTTCAACTGTACAAACTCGCTCCCTACTTTCCCTCTCTTTTGTGTGTAATTGTTCATTGAGTCACAGAGAGAGAGTGCAGTGGTCTGTGTGTGTTCATTTGTCAGTGAGTGGCTCTCCTTCAGTTGTTTTGCAGCATATTTAATCCTCATCAGTGTCTCCCTGCTCTCAGCTCGTACCCACAGCAACAGGTAAATGGCTTCTGGCGTGCCATTGACAGGGCTGTGTGTGAGAGCTCTTCACACGCTGCTTGACAGCACTGAGCACCTGGGATTGTGAAGATGAGCAGAAAGCCTCTCTCTGCTGAAGGGCCTTGTTTTCACTCCCTGTGCCTTATTTTTATTTTTTTTATCAGCCTGTGTGGGAGCTATTCTAGTAGCTTACGGCACGCCTCTGGAACTCAGCAATACTGCTCTTCCTGTTCTTATCCCATGGTGCAGGGGTTTAATCTGAGGTTAATGTAGTTTGTAGGTTTGTGTAAAGTGATTCTGATTCAAGTCTTTTTGGCTTTTTTTTTTATGGAGTCTGTCAATGGTAAAACTCACAAAATACGTCCAGGGCAGAAAAAAGAAAGAAAAAACTATTTATTTCGCTAAAGAAAGAAAAAGATTATTTGCATTGTGGTTAGGGATGCACCGAATGTCCGGCAACTGAAATTATTCGGCCGAAAATTGCAAAAAAAGCTCTTTCGGTGTTCGGCCGAATAAGTAAAAAGACCGAATAAATTGTACCAAACAATGATATGAACTGTCCGAGAAAGACGCAAAAATCATTACAAGCACCGACAGCGAGAGACCGTTTAGGACTGCATCGCATGTCTTCAATGAGAAGAGGAAGGGGTGATTGTTGCTGGTTACTGTATAATGATTGAAATTGCGAAATGGCCTTAAAGGGGTCATATGATGCTTTTTTTAAAGATCATTATTTTGTGTATTTGGTGTAACAGAATATGTTGAGGAAAACTTGAAATCGCATCATATGACCCCTTTAAACAATTAGTAAATAAACTGCAGAACGTTGCGTTTTCTAAAACATGCACGAATTGCATGTATTCTGACAGCGCTGCATGAACTCGCAGCAGATCTGCTTGTTAACCACAAGGTTCAAAGTCCAAAGCACGAGGAAAATCTTCGCTGAACCAGTGTTACTCGTCAGTTGCTCAGTCACATTTTAATGAATTTTTACAAGGCATGTGACAATGTGATACGTGCGATGTATTCATAATGAGACTCATTTATAAATCTGCTGTTAACAAAAACAAGTGCTGAGGTCTTCCTGCGCGTTTCCGCCAAAATAAAAGCAAGAACTCTTCAACAGTTATAAATGTTAGTATTGTCATTTTACTGTTGTTCTGTAAAATAAAATAAAAAGTAAGACTATAATAATGATACTAATCATTACCACAGCTCTGTTAATACATTTATTATAACATTCACACATAGTGTTCAAATTAGGATCTGTAATATTTTCTAATGTTTTAAAAGAAGTCTATTCTCAGCAAGGCTGCTTTTAATTGTACAGTAAAAATACATGCCTGATTCAAGAGGGCCAAAAAATATTATTTTACCAACTTATTAATTTTAAGTTAAATTGTGCTTTGTTGGTATAATGTCTGCTAGAATGTTAAAAATGTTCAGTGTTAAATATTTTTAAATTGTTGTTTTGTAATTGATTTTTTTCTTTGAAAAGCAAGACAAAATGGTAAAAAGCACATTTTGGCTATTTAATTTATGCAAAGGTGAAAAAAATGTTGGCAAAATACATGGGCGGGGGGGGTTAACCCCTCAAAAAAACGTGTTCGGTATTCGGCCTTTGGCCTAGTGTTTCATTTTGTTCGGTTTCGTCTTTGGCCAAGAATTTTCATTTCGGTGCGTCCTTAATTGTGGCAGTTTCATGACTATTTTTTTCCCTCTCAATTTATTATTGCTTGCTTTTTTGTTGTTTGGTAATTCCCTTAATTATCTCTAAATTGATTCTCTTTTTTATTATTATAATGGCAATGCAGTATTTTTTGTAGCATAATTAGATTAGAGGATAAAATGTGAGTCCGTGTCAATGCAAAAAATCTTAAAGCATATTTGTAGGATCATGATGCAAAAACATTTTTGTTTTTATGAGATTCACCCTTGTATCATATCTTCCCTAAAGTGTTTATTTATTTTTTATGAATGTAAATAGAGATGCACCGATCGATCGGCCAGGGATCGGAATCGGCCGATTTTCCTCATGATCAGCCCGGATCGGTGAGCGGCCAGTCATTCTTTCCGATTCCGAGCCGATCCGTTTCGTTACCAGCGGCACAGGCAATAACGTCAGCCGCGCATTCTCGCTCTCTTCTCTCCGACGACCCCTTCTCTCTCACACACGTCTCATTCGCTCCGGTTAAATAGAGCTTGTATTGCGCATTACTTTTGTCATTCCCGCAGGTTTCGCGCTTATACCAAACGCGCGCGCACCACCACAATCCGCGCTCAGTCTCAAACAGCTTGTGAGCCACAAATAACAAAATGAGTGGCTAACTGCGTTATAACTGTTAAATACATAAAAAAATTGTCAAAATGCCCGTTTTGGCGAGTATCCAGTTAAACACAGTCAGTATTGGAACGTTAAATAGTTGAGAAAGAGAACGCATGTTGTGTAACAGTATATTGGGTCCGTGGATAAACTCTTAAAGGGACCGCAGTCCAATATTTATGCTGCTGTCTGTCATGTTAATCAAAGAACAAAAGACAAAAAAAATAATTTTCTGCTCTTGACTAAATATGTTTTATAAATGTGTTATTTTACATTTGATTACTTTAATTTCTGTAGTATTTCTTAACTGAATAAAAACTTACTTAACCTGAAAAACTTAGTTTCATAGCTCTCTTTATTCTATTGCATTTATTTGTGCTGTTGTTTGCAATTTTTTTTATTTGTTCTTATTTTATTACTGACTTTTTACTTGTTTTTTTATGAAAATAAAACTTTGCGTTGAAGAAAAGTAGATTTTTGTTTGTATATGCTGTCAATTATAATTCTTAGAAAGAAAATCGGAATCGGCAAAAATCGGTATCGGCAGATCACACTAACAAAAAATCGGAAATCGGAATCGGCCAAGAAAATTGCAATCGGTGCATCTCTAAATGTAAATGTAGATATTTTTACCACAAGCTGCATAGTTTGATTCAAGCTGGCATCACAACAGGAAGCTGTTTTGCTAAAGCAGGTGCTTACTGCTCCCTGTATTTAGATTCTGTGGTACATAGTGTGCTGTGTACTAACAAGTCATATGCCGTATATCAGTGGGAAAGTCATTTCTGATAATTGCTGTGGAATATCTTCTCCTTTGGACAGTCACCAGGGTTTTTTGGCTCAGGCAGCAGAGTAGTGTTTCCCAATCTTCCCTCTCTTAACACACACACACACACACACACACACTTCACCCCACCCCACCCATGAAAGAAAAGCCGTTACTCCCCCCTCCCCCGTCTGCCCCCTTTCATCCCACATTAATTTGCCGAGTTGATCTGATCGACAGGCTGAAAATTCAATTTAATGACCTGCCCCTGTGCGCGTAATATGATTTTACTGCCTGTTATGGTCAAGCAGAGCTCCAATTTACATAATGATCTGAGGGAGAGATAGGGGCGTACCGGTTGCTGTGGCAACCTCAGAGTGGCATACAGGAATGGAAGCCAAGGGGAGGAGGTGGGTGAAGCGATGGAAAGAGAAGCTCAGTGTACGGCTGGCGTATGAGAACAGGCAGCGTTTTCATGTTCGAATATTTCCTCGCTTTGGTTAGATACCAACAGATTATTGTTGTTGTACGTGTTTGTTTTGCGAAGGAGTGTGTGTTTGTGTAGCAAAGCCGGGCTGAGAAAGCATTAATAGCTCAATGACTCTGAAGGGGTGTGGAGAGGGCTTAGATCCTTTGTTCACATCCCTAGAGACAGTTCATCACAGGTCAGAACTCATCCACTCTCGCCCGCTCTAAAGAGAGACCGAATCCATCAGAGTGCCAGGGTCAGCACCCTCCCACAGGCGCAGAGGTCACGTTGCCAAAAAATGAACGGAATGTGGCTTGCAGTGAAAGGAAGAGCGAAATTTCTCTCCTCCCTCACCTGCTGGGCCATCTGCTCCAACCTATAATCAATTTGTTCACCGCCCCATACTTCCTCTCCCCCCTCCCTCATGCTCTCCTTTCCCTTCTCTCCTTTTCATTCTGAAGCGTTAGCATATCTCATGATGAAATATAGCTCTTGGGGGCTTCAGGTAGCCGTGAGTAATGCAGGAGAACCAGAGCATGTTGGCTGATTACCCTGTCCGTCTCTCCATATCAATAAAAGTCATTTTGAATATTGCTGTAGGGCTCCGGTTCCTCGCCTCCTGCGCTGCTGGAATGGGAGCATGGGGGAAAATGGTAATTGCTCAGTATTGCCATCGTTAATCTCCCAGCACCAAATCAGCATTAGCATATTTCAGCATCTTAATGAAATAATCTGTCTGGGTAATGAGGGGGTGGGGGGGATGGTTGAGCCCCCCCCCCCC